TGAAGCCTCCAGAAGCAGAGCAGCCCTGTAGGAAATGTAAGATCACAAATCCCACTGCGTATGTGGGAATTTGTCACAGCAGATACAAGGAATTCACACGAGCAGGCACTGGGCAGAGCCCCAGCCTCCCTCCCGTGACCCCCAGGGCAGAGCTGGTCACCAGTATCGTCCACCCTCTGGGGCAAGACTCTGTGGTGCCCCCCACTCTGCACTTCCAGCTACAGGAGCAAAAGTCAAACAAGCCCCTGGTTTTGGCTTAAACTAGTTTGAGTTGGGTTTTGTTTCTGCCAACTCAGGCCTGACTGAGGCGTCCTGACCAAACCTGGTGGTAGGCCACTCCCACCTAGGGTGCCAAGCGCCCCTTCCCCTCTGAGGAGGAAGGGGCAGGACTGACACCCAAGTTCTGTTTTCAGATGAAGGGGGCTGAGGACATGGCTGGATGTTCTTTGCTCCCGGGTGGGAAGGCCCCCACCGGCTGTCACTAGCGGTGACAGAAGTGCGGGTAGTGTGGTCCAAAAGTGCAGGTACAGGGCCCAACAGATACTCAAAGGAACGGGTCAGGACAGGGAGGGGACAGTGGTCCTCGGGGTGGGGGTGGGGTCAGCGTGGCACCTGCAGCTGCCAAATCAGGAAAGGCACCAGGAGTAGGGACAGTGCCCAGGGCCACCCGTGGGGACAGGGCTGTGGCCATTGCTGAGGCCCATCGGTGCCCCCCAAGAAGGCCAGGCAGAGAGCGAGTCAGAACTAAAAAATATATTTCATTTCATTCTGAATAAAAAACGCAACAGACAGAACTCCTGGAAATCCTGAAAACAATGTCATCGCTACAGCAAAATTTCACAGAAATCATCACACAGAGTGTGGGGACCGAGCCTGGGCCTGACCCGCTGTGAAGCCTGCCTCTCTGGGGAGGGGCGCGCAGGATGGTGGACTCAGGGGACAGGCTGGGCTAGGTGGCCCGTTTTCAAGGTCCCTCTGCGCGGGAGCCCTTCCGGATGTGTGCGCCCCGCCGTGCACCCCACATGCCCCGCCGGGAGTGGTAGTGGTGGTAGAAGTTCCGCAGGCGCAGCCGCTCCACCTCCAGCCCCGCCTGCAGCACCCTGGATGGAGAGGGAGTCAGGGCTGCCCTGAGCCTGCAGGACCCTGGGGAGGGGTCATCAGGGCTGGGGGCTGGAGGTGCTCAGGGCCCTGGGTGGGTGGGGGAGGTAAGCAGTGCTGCCCTGAGCCTACAGGACCCTGGGGAGAGTGGGATGCAAGTGGTCACGGCCCCAGTCCAGGAGCTAGGGGTGTCAGGGCTTCTGCTACTGTAGAAGCACAGTAGGTGGATGGGGACTCAGGGCCACCACTGAGGCGAGGAACCTGGGTGCAGAAGGGGTTCAAAGGCTGTCCCTGATCCGCGGGACCCTGGGGTGGGATGTGGTTTCGGGGAGTGGGGCCTTCAGGTCCTGGGTGATGGAACAGGAGGACATGGGGGCGTCAGTCTCTGGGCACAGGGGAAGCGGTCACCTGTCCAGCAGCTCCCAGTCCTCCCCGCCCCACTGGTCTCGGAACTCCTCGGTGTTCATGCCTCCGACGCGCTCAAAGTCGGACTTGTAGATCCCAAAGAGGCCAAAGCCGTTCACCTCCCAGTAACCTGGGGGCAAAAGGCACCCCTCAGACTCCCTGGACCTCAGAGAGGTCTGGGGCAGGTCCCGTCATCAGGGGCTCCCAGGGCTCACCCTTCCAAGTTGGTCACAACCAGGAGCCCTGCACATGAGTGCTGGAGGAGGGTCCTAGGGGCTGGGCATGAGCCTGGGGAGACTGGGGGAGGGTCCTGGGCATATAGGGGCATTGATGGGGCCCCAGGCCTACCTTGGGGGTTGGGAGAGGTTCTGGGGAGCCTAGATTTCACCCTGGCATTGGTGAGGCTCCTGGCATTACTGGGGTGGGGGTGGGGCACTACCGTGTGGGTCCCCTGGCGAGCTCCCGCAGGCCAGGCGCATGACCACAGGCGCAAAGGCCAGCTTGCCCTCCACGCAGTGCTTGCGGATGCCATCCAGAATGTTGGCGGGGAAGTGGATGTGCAGGTCACAGAGAAAAACGATGCTGCTGGCATCCTGGAGGGTGAGGGAAGGTCAAAGGGCCGCCCTCTGCCCTCTCCTCCGAAAGCCGAGTTCCCACCTCGGCCAGCATCTCGCGCTACCCTCCTGCGCCATCCTGCCCACACACCTCCACCGCGTCCACTCCAGCTTGCAACCCTGCGGAGCGCTCAAAGTTTCCGGTTCTCCTCAGGTATTGGTACCTGGGGGTGAGGGGACAGGTGCCGATCCCTGAGGGTAGAAAAACACACCTCCCCAGGAGGGAAGCTGCGCCCGTCCCCCCAGGTGGCAGTGGGGCGGGGCACCGGTACCGGGGCAGCCGAGCGCGGCGCAGGGCCTGTTCCACGTCCATGTCCTCACTCTCAAAGTCCACCAGAATGACGCTAAAGTGCGAGTCCCCCGTGTGGGCGTGCAGCGCGGCCATGTCCGTCAGGAACTGTGCCACCCAGCGCGCCTGGTTCTTCACTGGAGGAGATGAGGCCACTGAGACCACCCCCACCGCACCTTGTGGTACCCCGTCCAGGGCCAGTAGCACTCCCTCTGCTTCCCAGGGGGCCTCCTGGGGCGCCCCCCACCCAAGCAAGGTGCAGGCCCCCAGCACTCCCGCACACCTGGCACGATGAAGTGTACCATCACATCCTGGCGCCAGGCCAGGCGCAGCGGGCGACAGAGCTCCGGGCGGCCATCGGGGCGCGCCGAGGCGGCAGGAGCGGGCTCGGGGCTCTCTCCATCCCCGTCCGCGCCCCCAGTGCGGGCTCCCGGCAGTCGCAGGAAGACATACTCAGACAAACGCAGGCGGCCGCCCCCGCGCTCCTGTAGCTCCAACTCCAGGAGGAAGCGGCTCCCGCGTGCGGAGTCCCGGCGCTTCTCCACGTTCACTATGCGCAGGAGCGCGTAGCGCCTGGGAGGAGAGGCCGAGTCGTCCCCGCCCCCATTGCCCCCTGCAGCGTGCTCGTCACACCTGACGCTCCGCAGGGAGTTCGCAGAAGGAAGACCCACACTTCATCCCCCTCTCCCAGGGCAGCCCGTGGCGGGAAGGCGTCCCCCAAGCTCAGGCCCTATTCTCTTCTGCCACCTCAGGTCTTCCACCTCCATCTTTCAGACATGCCCACAACCCTTCAGCGGCACCCACTACACACGGATGAGGTTCCAGTGTCTTAAAACGGCATTCTAGGACCTTAAGGCAGGCTCCTAACTTGTGGCCTTCAATATGGCCTCACACTGTGAGCAGCCTTCCTCTTCCCATGGGGTCTTTGTCCTGGGGTGTCCTTCTGGCGCATTTGATCCCATCCTCCCAGCTCCTTGTAAGGCCCTGGGTGGTTCCCTNTCCTTTGTGCTCCATTATCTCCTGTCTTCTCAGGACTCATTTTTAGCTGTTCTTTTCTATTTTCTTTTGTGTGCTTTGTTCAAACCTCTGCTCCTCTGCTCCTGACGGGGTTTTCAACAGTGGCTATTATTATTTGTGAAATTCCTAAAGTAGCTTTTATTTCTGTAAAGGTTTTATTTTTCTCTTCTGTTCCCCATCCCCCCAAGTGTTGTCAGATAATGTCCATTTCCTTTGTTTTTTCTCGTGGATCTTTAAGACTTTATTTTTTATTATCTTTTAAATTAAAGTTTATTGGGGTGAAGACTTTATTTTTTTTAGAGCAGTTTTAGGTTCACAGGAATATTAAGAGGAAAGTACAGAGATTGCACTGCCCCCCCCCCACCACACACACACACACACACACACACACACACAGGCACAGCCTCCCCCACTACTTACACCCTCCACCAGAGGGCACATTTGTTATAGTTGATGAACCTACATTGACAGGTCATTGTCACCCAAAGTCCACAGCTGACATAGGGCTCAGTCTTGGTGTTGTACACTCTCGGGGTTTGGACAGATGTGCCTACCGTTGTACTCTCACACAGAGTAGTCCCACCGCCCTAAGGACCCTCTGTGCTGCGTGCTCATCCCACCCCTAACCTCTGACAGCCCCTGGTCTTGTCACTGGGATCACACAGTGTGTAGGCTTCTCAGACTGGCTTCTTTCACTTAGTCATACGCATCTAAGGTTCCTCCATGTATGTTCATGGCCGAGATCTCATTTCTTTTTATCACTGAATAGTATTCCATCGTCTGGATGGATCACACTTTATGCATCACCTACTGAAGGACGTCTTGGCTGCCTCCAAGTCTTGAAAATGATGGACAAAGCTGCTATAAACACCTGTGTGTAGGTTTTCATGTGGACATGAGTTTCCAGTAAATACCAAGGAGCACGATTGCTGAATCATAGGATAAGAGTATGTTTGGTTTTGCAAGAAACCGCCACTCTGTCCTCCAAAGTGGCCGCCCTATCTGCACCCCTCTCCCAGCCTCAGTGGGAGTTCCCACGGC